CAAAAACAAAACGTGTGCCAGATCGAGCCCCTGGACTGAGCGTGTTCCCAAAGACCGAAATGTAATGAAATGACATGGATATCAGTTGGGTGGGCACCTGCAGGGCATCCTGTGGCAGCTACTCCACCCCGTAACAGCCCATCCATGTACAGGTTAAACAGTAAGGATGAAGAGCGTTAGGTTGAAGAAGAGTCATGCAATATAGGCAACCCCCATCCCATTCCATGTCTTCCCGGGCTCTCCAGGTTGTCTCAATCCCAACTCCTACCCATATCAGGCTAAGACAAGCCAGCCACCCCAAACCCTATCAAATTTCCTCGGGCATCCTCTAATGTAAGCTGCCTTGTACAGGTGTATAGACAAATCAATAAAGCCCCTCCACTCCGCCAGTGATGAAGGGTCTTTCCGCTTCCAATGTAGGACCAGTATTATTATTAAACTGGTGAGTCCATGTCATTTTTAGAAATCTGCAGTCAAGGTGTTACAATAAACCGTGTTCTCTAATACAACAGCACCTTTCACTAAGTCAACCAATCACTGTGGCACATTATATGCGGCTGACCTTCTATAGCCCACAGGAAGCTGCCCCTGCCATAAAATAGCCAGTTGGGTATGTTTTCATCTTAAGCCAAATGTTCCCAGCCCTCTCCTTAAATTCAGCAACACATTTCCACGGTACATACAGTCTACAGCTCTGGTACCCAACCTGCAACTCAGGGGCCTCATGCGACCCTTTGACACTTGTTTTGAGGCCCCTGCAGACCCCTGCTAGGTGCTGACTCAAGCCTGTAAAATTTCTTCACACAATCTTTTTTTCCTATGCTGTCTATCCCTTTTCTTTTTTTTTTTCTTCGGGTCTATTATTATGGAACCTGTGAGGAATATTAAATGTGGGACCAGTAATTTTTTAAGGGGTCAGTATTTAGTTTAGTGGTGAGACAAGTTGTTTTACATGCTGGTTTGTGAGTGTGCCATGATGCCTTTCTACAGTATTTAGATGCGGACGCATCAATTTGCAAATGGGCTGTGATAGCCGTGATCTTGAACAGTCATATGTAATGTGTCTCTTATAGCATCTAAGCAGTCTCTGACCATCTCCTGTTGCATGTCCATAGTCTCTGAGAGTTCTCTATAGCCTTACATTCACTGAATATTATGTGTGCCCCTTTGGTGATGTCAGGGGCTTCACTTGAGGTCCCTTATATCAACAAAGTTGACCACTACTGGTCTACAGGATCTGCACAGAGCAAGGAGTATAAAAACATCAACATAGTAAGGGGAAATCTTTATTTTTCTAAACAAAATAAAGTGTGAAAAATCTGTATTTCTACAAACAAATAATAGTTGTATTACTTACAGTGCTCTACAAAATCAATTGTCAATGTTTTCACTCAAGATTTCATTAGAAAAGTGTGTGAATTCTGAGAGAACGTTGTGTGAATCATGGGTGAAAAATCATGTTCAAATATACTTTTGTGTGAGTTTAGCTCTACATTAAGGCACGTGGTCTCTGTGCAGTATAAAATGTATTTGTTAAATTGTTTTTATTAAGGAAGCAGAAAGAAGCAAAATAAGAAACAAGAAGCACTGCTGGAGGTGAAGACTAGGGGGGCTGCTACATTTAATTCCCAAGTGGTAGATAGCGCCTTCAATGTCAAACGTCTGGTTTGGAAAATAACAGATGGAATCAGTAGCACAGCCCTGCAGTCTTGTGCCAACACTCGGTCCCACTGCAACACAAAACAGTAATAAATAACGCAACATATGCAAATCACTGTATACAGTTTATGGGGCTGGCATATAATAGTGTCATTGGAACATATTTTGGTCAGGGGACATCCAGTAGAGAGCTACTTGGAAAAAAAATATAAATAACTTTGTACAATATCCTTGCAGTCCGGTCTTGCATATAATTCTAAGGGATATGTTTGTACTTGTCTGAAAGACCAATAGATTCCTGCACCTTGTAGGGAAACAGTATAAGTATTTGCTCTGTAGTTCAGGAATAGCTAAACTTGCTTGCCCTATTTCCTTTTGAGGACCATGCATGTGCCTCCAGGAAGGGCTCATCTTGTAGATCATCTTGGTGACCACCCTAGGCCTGCTTTTCTCCACTCAATATTATCCTTTCCCAAACTTAGCTGACTCAGGATGCAAATGATCACCAGTGTCACTTCCAAGCACCCCCATGCTGAGGCACTCTTCTTCTAAACCCTTGGTTCTCAACTGGTGGGTCGTGACCCAAAAGTGGGTCGCTAACCCAGGTTCAGTGGGTCACCGCATGCCTTCCACTTTTCTAGGTGAGAGGCTTCTCTGCCTCCCCCTAGCACAGCACTGTCAGTTCTCGTGCCAAGCCGCCATTCAAAATATGTGTCAACTTGAGGTGGGATGAGATGGGGGCTATGGCCGTGAGGGAGCTCTATTCATACATGCATTGCTTACAGCTCCCTCACGTGTCCTATAGAGGTACCTGGACTGGAGTGACATCACATTCTGGCTCCCGTCACCTCTACAGGACATGCAAGGCAGACTGTGCACATATGGATGGAGCTCCGTCACAGCACATCAGCCCCCACTGGACCCCAGGCTGAGGATCCACTCCAGTTCT